GACTTTGAGGTTCTTGGGTTGAGCCTCTTCCCATTTCTGAAAAAAGTGGCAGGTACGTGACTCCAGCGTCCCGGAATCATATCAGTCATGAATGCAGCCCTCTTCGTTGGGCAATCAGCTGCAAACATGAGATTGCCCCCCTGCACTAGGTTTAAAAAGGGAGAGGACAGAAGGAAGAAAAGGAGAGAAGTTTTACATCTATTAAGATGTTACACACACACACACAGACACAAACACAGACACACACACAAACACACACACACACAGACACACACACACACACCCACACGCACACGCACACGCACACACACACAGACACACACACACAGACAGACACACAAAGTGCGCTCCAAACCTCGGTGGCACAGGCGTCAAAGAATCCATGAACATGAAATCAGGTTGCTGCTCTACATGTCACGGCCATTTGGACGTAGTAATCTGCTGCAACAACTCCATCTACAAAGTTTCGATGGTTTGAGCAAAACAAAGACAAGATCGTGAAATTTCAGATTCGCTAGGTGCTCATCTCATTTCTGAGATTTCGGGTGTCAAAGTCAGCAATGGTTTTCCAGGTCGCGAGATGCGAGGCGGTGCTGGCTGGATGCATCCAAGATGGATACACACGAAGCACACCAGACCTTGGCTGCAACACAGGCGGGAAACAATCTTGGAAAACGAAAGCCTGATACGGCAGTATGGCTGTTGTAACTTAATGAAAGCATGCACTGCAGTAAACAAGATGGCCCGGTTCGTGCATGCAAAGCAAATATAAATAGATTAAGTGGCAAACCCCCTCCGTCCCCATGGCTTTTATACACAGACGCTTTTACACACCAAAACTTTTGCACACAGACGCTTCTACATTTTACATACCAACACTTTTACACACAGACGCCCTTACACACCAACTCATTCACACACAGACGCTCTTACACACCAACGCTTCGACACACAGACGCTTTTACACACACAGGCTGCAACACAGGCGTGAAACAATGTTAGCACCCGATTAGTGTGATGGTACCCTATTGTGGCAAGTTTTTGCTTCCTAATTGAGTATCTTGGTGTTTGGGGGGGCCTCTATTGTAAAAAGTTTTTTTTCAGATTGTTTTCCATTTTTTTGCTTTTTCCCCACGTTTTTCATTTTTCCCAATTTCTTGAATTTGCTTTTCATTTTTTTAAAATGTTTTTCCTGGTTTCATTTTTTTCTCAGATCCAATTGTTTATTGTTCCAAACAATTAGGTGCCTTACTAAACCTTTTTAAAAAACAGCATCCCCAAAAAAAATCAAGGAGGTACCTCATGAGTGGCTCAGATCCTGAATCATATAATTGTTTGGATGGTCTCTATTGTGCACAACAACTTTTTGGGAATGAAAAAAAACAAAACCCTTTCTCCACCTTTCTTTGGGTATAGCTGGTCCCTTTACTTTAGAAAACCATATCCATGTCAAAACTTTGAAATACAAGGTTTTCCGAATAATTAGATGCCTTATTAAACCCTTATTTAAAAAGCGCATCCAAACAATTTTTCAAGGAGGTACCCCATGAGTGGCTCAGGTACTCAATAATATAATTGTTTGGATGGTACTCTATTGTGCACAACAACTTCCGGGCATGAAAAAAACAAAACCCTTTCTCCACCTAAAGCTGGTCCCTTTACTTTAGAAAACTATATCCATGTCAAAGCTTTGAAATACAATGTTTTCCGAATAATTAGACGCCTTATTAAACCCTTTTTTAAAAAGAGCATCCAAACAATTTTTCAAGGGGGTACCTCATGAGTTGCTCAGATACTCAATAACATAATTGTTTGGATGGTACCCTGTTGTGCACGCCAACTTTTGGGGTTGAAAAAAAAACCTTTCTCCACCTTTCTTTGGGTAAAGCTGGTCCTTTGCTTTAGAAAGCCATATCCATGTCAAAGCCTTGAAATACAAGGTTTTCCAAATAATTAGAGATGCCTTGTTAAACCCTTATTGAAAAACAGCACCCAAGCAATTTTTCAAGGTGGTACCCCATGAATGGCTCAGGTCCTTAAAAACATAGTTGTTTGGATGGTACCCTATTTTCTTTGGGTAAAGCTGGTCCATTTACTTTAGAAGGCAATATTTTTCTTAAAGCTTTAAAATGCAAGGTTTCCAAATCCTCATTTAAGTTGACTATCCAAAAAATTGTTGGGGGGGCAAAAAACTGCTCCTTATTTAGTATACTCAAATTGTTTGAGGCCGGGGGCCCTCACACTAATCAGTAGCTAACATTATATATATATATACATACATACATAGATACATACATACATACACACACACGCACAGACACACACACACACACCCACACGCACACACAGACACACACACACAGACAGACACACAAAGTGCGCTCCAAACCTCGGTGGCACAGGCGTCAAAGAATCCATGAACATGAAATCAGGTTGCTGCTCTACATGTCACGGCCATTTGGACGTAGTAATCTGCTGCAACAACTCCATCTACAAAGTTTCGATGGTTTGAGCAAAACAAAGACAAGATCGTGAAATTTCAGATTCGCTAGGTGCTCATCTCATTTCTGAGATTTCGGGTGTCAAAGTCAGCAATGGTTTTCCAGGTCGCGAGATGCGAGGCGGTGCTGGCTGGATGCATCCAAGATGGATACACACGAAGCACACCAGACCTTGGCTGCAACACAGGCGGGAAACAATCTTGGAAAACGAAAGCCTGATACGGCAGTATGGCTGTTGTAACTTAATGAAAGCATGCACTGCAGTAAACAAGATGGCCCGGTTCGTGCATGCAAAGCAAATATAAATAGATTAAGTGGCAAACCCCCTCCGTCCCCATGGCTTTTATACACAGACGCTTTTACACACCAAAACTTTTGCACACAGACGCTTCTACATTTTACATACCAACACTTTTACACACAGACGCCCTTACACACCAACTCATTCACACACAGACGCTCTTACACACCAACGCTTCGACACACAGACGCTTTTACACACACAGGCGCTTTTGCACACCAATGCTTTTACACACCAACACTTTTATACACAGCCGTTTTGACACACACACAGACGCTTTTATACACTCACGCTTTTACACACACTCACAGACAGACGCTTTTACACACAGCCGCTTTCACACACACACAGACGCTTTTACACACACGGACACATTTACACAGGCAGACGCTTTTACACACAGACGCTTTTACATACGGACGCTTTTACACACCAACGCTTTTAGACGCTTTTACACACCGACGCTGTTACACACCAACACTTTTATACACAGCCGTTTTGACAAACAATTGCTTTGACACACACACACACACATCAAAATAGCAATTTAGCCTCAGTTTTTGACGATCGATCCTCATTTCGTGCGAAAGGGCTGCGCGGTGCCCTCATTTCGTGCGAAATGGGTGCGCGGTGCCCATCAAAATCACCTGAACATTCCTTCGATCAACTATTTTTGTTAGTTTTGGAGTATGTATGACCTAAAATGACCAAGTTTTCAGAATCCTGTCTAATTCTACTAGTTTGCCTGGTTTTGCTTCCTAGTGGCCAGCCACACTATCACCACAATTGACAATTTGAATATGACTAAACATGGCTTCCATCCTGGCTGCGTCCCAAGGACATACCAGGCCATTTTCATATCCCGAGCACCACCGCATTTAAATGCACATAACTGCGCCCAAAATTACCCGCAAAACGCCCGCAAATCCAAGCATCTGGTAAATTTGTATAATTTTGGGAGCGCGCAATTAAACACAAACCAACTTGGATGTGCGGCTGCATATTTTGAAAGCAAAATGCTGGTGAGAAGACTGGGAGGAGGGCCATGTCGATGGGAAACACAGCCATGACATACCATGCCTAACTTTTGGGGGAAACGCTCGATACGGCCATGAATTTGATGAAACGCCTGATTGAGCAAAACGACTGATATTCTTTAGGAGTTGGAAGGCCTAGGCACAATTTTCCCTCAGTTTTTGACGCTCGTCCCTCATTTCGTGCGAAAGGGTTGTGTGGGGCCGATCAAAATCGCAATTTTAAATCAGTTTTTGACGATCGGCCTTCATTTCGTGCGAAAGGGTTGTGTTCCGCGATCGTTCGTGGCAACCGCCCCCGCCTTGAGGAGAGGAGAGGAGAGGAGAGCAGAGCAGAGCAGAGCAGGGGAGAGGAGAGAAGAGAAGAGAAGAGAAGAGAAGAGAAAGGGAAGGGAAGAGAAGAGACGAGAAGAGACGAGAAGAGAAGAGAAGAGAAGAGAAAAGAAGAGGAGAGAGAGAGAGAGAGAGAGAAGAAGAGAGGCGAGGAGAGGGGAGGAGAAGAGAAGAGAAGAGACGAGAAAGGGAAGGGAAGAGAAGAGAAGAGACGAGACGAGAGGAGAGGAGAGGAGGGAAGAGGAGAGAAGAGGAGAGAAGAGGAGAGAAGAGGAGAGAAGAGAAGAGACGAGAAGACGAGACGAGAGGAGAGGAGAGAAGAGGAGAGAAGAGAAGAGAAGAGACGAGACGAGAGGAGAGGAGAGAAGAGAAGAGGAGAGAAGAGGAGAAAAGATGAGAAAAGAGAAGAGAAGAGAAGAGAAGAGACGAGACGAGAAGAGAAGAGAAGAGAAAAGACGAGACGAGACGAGACGAGACAAGAGGAGAGGAGAAGAGAAGAGAAGAGGATGTAAGATGTGAAGATGTGATGAAGACGTATTATCTGAGCTCAGCTTCTTTTGTTGGAGAAGCCTACGCTCAGGCGCTTTCGGGAATAAACATAAACATCAAATAATTATCAAACAAAGTATCCAACACGTTCGAAGCTGTGTGTGGCCAAGAAGCTCAGAGTGATGTTAAACAGAATGCTCTCCACCACCGCCTCACCATCCTCTGAACGCCTGGCCCTGAGAACATCAGCTTTGAAAACGAAACAAAGCAGGATGCATTTCCAAAAACATGCTGCATAACTGTTGCACATGACGGGCATATGATCTGCATATCATGGAATCCTTACATTGTCTTACATTGAGCCAAATCAAACTCCTGCCTCCGTACACCCAGCAATACCAAATCACCGGGAACCTTAGCTAGCATGCTATTGTCATTGGCAAATGAAGACTGCCGATCATGAGCTCACACGAAGAATGAGTGGAATGAGACTATGACTCTTCTGACAAACTTAGTCTCTTGAAGCTCGTGTATGTCTCGCTCTGTTGAGTCACATCCTCTATCAATCTCTACCCTTCCAAGTCCCATCTTCAAGCTTCAACTGACTTCAACACTACATGTTTGTGGTACTGTACCAGTACTATGCGCAGTTCAGCGGCATGCTTATCCAGCAGTTTGAAGATATCGGATCCAGTTCGGATGGGCTTGTCATCAAGCGTAGTGATGACGTCGCCAACTGTACCATTCAGCATGGGGCGAACCCCAGCTTTCTCTGCTGGACTGTTTGCGACCACGGAGTAAACAATGATACCCGGGATCTGCAGAGCATCAGAGATACCATCTGGGGCCTCGCACTCTTACAACATCTTACAACATGCACGGTTTCTCTCATGACACCGTGCAGACTCATGCTGATCACTGATCATGTTTCATTACAACTAGTTACAACTGGTTACAACTGATCATGCTGATCGACGTGCCAATGATGTGAACATTCTGTCTGACACAGCCGAGCTATATGCGTTTATGTCTCATACTATTGATCTGATTTGATCTGTATTGAGTTGCAGTCAGGTCAATTCATGTCCTTTCTTTGGACTGGCATACTTCAATAATCAGCAATAATTCTGTCTTCCCTCTGCCCTACCCCAAATACGATGTGCATGTTAACAGAAAATAGTAGAAATAATCCTGCCTAGCTACAGCTACACGTCATGATGCATTGCACGGTTGTACGTCTCTCGTCGTATCCGCACATCTGACTCCTCTAATTCCTTTGGAATCCAGCTGCATACACGTGTGTGTGTGTGCGTCTGTGCCTGACGTGTCATGACTATACGCATCGCATCATATACGCCATATGCAATCTCATACAATATTATCATATTATATCTTCCATTCTACATTCTACAAACTTATACAATATAGCGTCCAAAGGAATTTGTATCATCAGCATGGTTCTCTCATCCTCTGCATCTGTCATTTTTGGCCTTTTACTTCGTCAAGCAACGAATGTGATACCCAAAAAGCCCCTGGACACGAAGCCCTGCTTAAGAATCAGCTCCACATTCTTCTTCACCGTGTCAACCTAAAACCAGCTATGGCGGAGGCACCAGGAACAAAACCGAATGCAGCACAAAACAAGCAGTGAGACATCTGCTTCAAAAAGATTCCAAAAGTATCCAAAAGTCATGTTGGATCATGTTGGACTGAGACACTGGAATGGCAAGGCCAACACCTGCAGATGTGCCACTCGCTGTGAGGATCGCCTAAGTTCCAGTCGATTCTCCCCTCGTCTTCGGACAAACATGAAACATTTGAAACATACAATGTCTTGGTCTTGTCACATTTTTTGCAGGGCTTTAGAATTTAATGCTGGCCCGAATTGTTCTAGACACGCGGTGAAAGCCATCAAGATCAATTACCGCGGGTTGGCACTAGAATGCTTCAATCATGTTCAATCAATGTGTATCCATAATGTCAAATGACACTTGTAATCAGTCAAGTCACAACATGTACTGGACTGACATTCTTCAATTATCGGTGTCACTTGACATTGGTCTGTATGACTTGAAGACTTGCCAAATTTGCTGGAATTTCGTCCTCCGGTCATGGCATGGATGGAAAGTTATGCAGCCCTTTTGGATCCTTTTGGCGTTGTCGATGTTCTCGTTTGGGTGTTCTAAGTCTCAACATGTCTCAACACTGAGGACGCAGCTGTATTGACACCGATGACTCGGCCAGCTGCATCAAGAAGCGGACCACCAGAATTTCCTGCAAAAATGTCATACCGTCATACCCTAAGAAATGTAGAAACATAATGAAGCATAGCCAGCGCAGCCGCCTCATGCCGCCTCAATTAACATAATTAACTTCCAGTATCTTCATGTCTTTTCATGTGACTTCAAAGCGGTAGTGTGCGATTCCCGTGGCACAAGCACCGCCAACGAACTGCAGTGCTCCTGGATTGATTGAAGCATCAGTTTGGATGCACCCTTGAATCGGCCTGCCAAGATCAAGTCTGGAAGAAAAAAAAGTTGGGCGACAGGCCACACACGTTCCTGGCAAGGCATCCGTGTCTGCTATGTCTGCTAAACAGCAAGACCCTTCAAACCCCTGCGAGAGCTGGTGGAGACGTATTCCATCTCAGAACTCCGCCCCGTGACACCATGTCGCAGCATCTCTCACACCTCTCGCCAATATCCAAAGTTCGAGACTTTCCCGAGATGATGCCCTTGCTCCTCAGCATTTGTTGCCATGGTTTCAGCATGTTTGGAACGCTTAAACGGCTTAAACTTAAATCATAAATCTGCTCTCTCACCTTGAAGCCATGCTTGTCTCGTGCAGTTGTTTCATGTTTCTCTCTCTCTCTCTCTAGTTGCAAAAGGTGGTCATAGCATCTCAATGTCACAGGATGTCGTAGGTCATCTATGGTTATCTCATTTCAATAGAGGGTCATGCTATGATCGAGACCGAAAGGATTTCCGATAGCATACACGCTCTGTCCTGCCAACCCAAGTTCACAAGCTATGAGCTTCGCTATCATCTTCCAAATGAACAAGCAAAGCAATCTGCGGCAAGTTGTCCTACTTCAAGCGTTGCTGATTCTCCAATTGGCAGAGGATGCATCGGCACCAACCGGTTTGTGCTTCGCGATATAATTCTGATGACGGCAGTATCAGTGAAGGGATCGGATCCAATCAGCTCTCCCTTGAGTACTTCTCGCTTGGGAAAGTCATCGGAGCCAGAGCCCCCACCAGATCCAAAAGTAGTGTCCAAGAAAACGATCTGCAAATCTTGCGGCCCAATATCTCTGACAACGTGATAGTTCCTGTGCACCATACATAATTAGTCACAAATGGCCACCAAAGACTGAAACATACTGAAACAAGGAACGAGGATCAACATGGATCAACACAGGCAGCCGGCAGTACTGACTCTCACAGTCCAAAAGAAACACACGCCGTCACACATCGTGCGCCGCCAAGACTCGTCACCACATGCATTTGGTCCCAAACCTTGGGCGGTACACTGCAAGGTGACAATCTGTTTCAGAAAGTTAGGTGCGTAACGGTCGTAACGTGAAGCTCTGTGAAACCGAAAGAGACAGAGATCAACATGTCCGACATATTCCGACACAATGTTTTGCAAGCTCTTTCATGCATTGGAAACGATTTCTGGATTCACGAACGATTTCCGGGATCACGGGTCTGATTGGAAAAGGGATAGGAATTTTGGTGGCCTTCCTGCAAAAATGATTGAACTGTTGAATATGGCAGCCACGCCTCACGTCATTGATATCCTTACCTTGTGGTACCTTGTGTACCTCCTACCGACCTGCAATCATCCCAAAGTTGGAACTGTGACAAAACGATTGCCTTTCCTGTTGCAAGAACATTCAGAATCTTGAGCCAGCCCGAACCAACGAGGCCCCGGTCAAAAAGTGCTGTAGCATGCTGTAGAGCGTCAAAACCACTTCCCAATGAAGGCGGTAAGCCATCTTCCCCATTTCGACGTCTTTCACCCGGACGAAGTCCACGGGACCTGAGACGACATGTCGCAGAGCAAGCAAAAGTGCACAGCATTGGACAAATTGTACAACTTGCAAAGCCGGGAGGATCCGGGAGGGCAAAACAAGTCACAAAAAAGCTCACACATGGACATCATGGACATCATGGACACAAGAGAGATCGCAAACGCGACTTGAAAAGTGATGAAAAGTGTGACATTTGAAGAGCATATTGAAAACATATTTACTTGGCCACAGCACACTGAGACGACGCCAGGTGTCGCATCACGGAAGACCTGAGTTCAGCACATGTCAATAAATCTCAAGAATTCTCAAGATATATATATAGATTTGTTAAGAACGTTGTTAAGAAATTTGGAAATTTGTTACGAAATTTATTAAGAGATTTGTTAAGACATTTGTTAAGAATTTTGTTAAGAATTTTGTTAAGAATTTTGTTAAGAACTTTGCTAAGAATTGTGTTAAGAATTTTGTTAAGAATTCTGTTTCGAATTTCGTTTCGAATTTTGTTTCGAATTTTGTTCAGAAATTTGTCAAGAAATTTGTTAAGAAATGTGTTAAGAAAGTTGGAAATTTGTTAAGAAATTTATTAAGAGATTTGTTAAGAAATTTGTTAAGAAGTTTGTTAAGAATTGTGTTAAGAATTTTGTTAAGAATTTTGTTAAGAATTTTGTTAAGAATTATGTTTCGAATTTTGTTTCGAATTTTGTTACGGATTTTGTTCAGAAAATGTGTCAATAATTTTGATAAGAAATTTCTTAAGTCAAGATGTGTTAAGCACATGTAACCAGGCTGGGCAAGGTCCCACGCGGGACCGAATGAAGAGCTCCCACAAGGTCGGCCATGTTGCGCCAAGTCTTCGAAGGTTTAAATGAAGGACGAAGACAAGACAGGATAATCAGTGATTGAGGTGATACTGTCGCTAATCAAAAAAATATCTTCGCCACTTATATCGTTTTTTGGCAGAAAAATTCTCAGATCTTGTCTCAGTATTCTACATCTATTGCTCTACGTTGTTCTCCCATCTATTGCCAGCATTTGCCAGCCACATCGACAGGCCACTTGTGCAGCTGTTCTCTCTTCAGAAGTTCTGGCAGCCGCCCAGACTGGTTCAAATGTAGCAAGTCCCACCTCCAGAATGTCTGTGCAAGAGAGAAAAACAGAAGAGCACCGTGACCACTCTTGCTCCTTGATATTGCTTGATGCTACTTGTACTTCTAGTGCCGTGTGACGCCTCGGCAGAAGTCATCAATGAATGTTATGTCGTGTAGGGTATATTATGGTATATCACTGAATCACCGGATAACGCACAAGTCTCGCCTGTGCCAAACCCTGCACAAGCTGCCTGCGCAAAGGCGCAGCATGTGCATCTGTCCTGAAGCACGAAACGAAGGAAGCGAAGAAATCAGAGCACGCCTCAAACATGTTCTTTACTCTTTACCAAAGAGCAGGGCGCGTCTCTTTCTTGAAAATGATCCAAAAATCTAATGGTCAAAACAAAACAAAACAAAGAAACATCCCCCAAGTGCAGCCGTCACTGGCGCCTGGAGGGCTCTGAAAATGCCAAGTGCCCAAGTTTCAGAGCCTTGCGTTCGAGGTTTGAATCTTGAGACTTGGGCTATTGATGGCTATTGTATGCTATTGTGAACTCAGTAGCCATACTTTCCAGTTCGATGTCTGTGGCTTTGTTGAACATGCAGGCAGGCTGCAGCCATGGCAAGAGCGAGAATTGGCAATGGCCGCCATTGCCGACGCTGTCCCATTTCAGCCTTTTAGGCAAAATCGGTTTTGGATTGTATTGATTTTTTTCAACCACTGCCTACCCGCGTACCCATAGGTTGTGTAGCCTTCACTGCTTGGCTGCAGATTTCAATATACTTCCAACACAAAACATCTGGCTCAATTTGTGGCTTTCCAATCCATTGTGGCCAGCTTTGCAGATTTGGAAGCTCATTGTTTCACAGCTAACGGAAGTCGTGGTCCAAAAATGCACATGCAAGTCTAAGTCGCACTCAATCTCTCAATGTACACACCTTTCGCGCAACAAAAAAAAATACGCAAAGGATGCAATGAAGGCGACCTCTTTCCATCTTTAGTGGCCCGAGATTTGCTGTCTGGACTTGACCCCAAATTGAGTATCTGCATGTATCTAGGATGTCCATGCTTTCTGTGCCAGTCTCCCGATCAAGAAACATCAAGAAACCATATTCATATTGCATCAAGTTGGCATCAAGACGCATTAAGTCATTGAATGTCATTAACATCATTAACAGTCATGCGTTATTCGGCCTTCTGAAGCCTTCTATACTTCATCCCGTCCCACCAACGGGCCTTGCTTGAAAGCCTAGGAGTCTAGGAGGCCAACATTTAAAGAAATCAGAGAAAGAACAAGTCAGGTGGTCATGCAAATTGAGATAATTAAGAGTATATATATAACTTAACCAACAGTAAGTAACAGGAATCAACATAATAAAGCAATAAGCATCAATGTATACAAATGTCTTAACTTAATATTACTCATCTCGGGCTTATCTCCTCCAAGTCGATCCAGCTGAGTTTCGCGCGAAAGGTCCAGAAAGAATTGCGTCTAATTTAGACAGCGCCTTCTGACCACGCAGCATTGCGGTAGCATGTTACCACCCTGTACACGGTAGCATCTCGTGGCAGCATCGATGCGTCGACCAGTGGATTTTGTTAAGAATTTTGTTAAGAATTTTGTTAAGAACTTTGCTAAGAATTGTGTTAAGAATTTTGTTAAGAATTTTGTTTCGAATTTCGTTTCGAATTTTGTTTCGAATTTTGTTCAGAAATTTGTCAAGAAATTTGTTAAGAAATGTGTTAAGAAAGTTGGAAATTTGTTAAGAAATTTATTAAGAGATTTGTTAAGAAATTTGTTAAGAAGTTTGTTAAGAATTTTGTTAAGAATTTTGTTAAGAATTGTGTTAAGAATTTTGTTAAGAATTTTGTTAAGAATTTTGTTAAGAATTATGTTTCGAATTTTGTTTCGAATTTTGTTACGGATTTTGTTCAGAAAATGTGTCAATAATTTTGATAAGAAATTTCTTAAGTCAAGATGTGTTAAGCACATGTAACCAGGCTGGGCAAGGTCCCACGCGGGACCGAATGAAGAGCTCCCACAAGGTCGGCCATGTTGCGCCAAGTCTTCGAAGGTTTAAATGAAGGACGAAGACAAGACAGGATAATCAGTGATTGAGGTGATACTGTCGCTAATCAAAAAAATATCTTCGCCACTTATATCGTTTTTTGGCAGAAAAATTCTCAGATCTTGTCTCAGTATTCTACATCTATTGCTCTACGTTGTTCTCCCATCTATTGCCAGCATTTGCCAGCCACATCGACAGGCCACTTGTGCAGCTGTTCTCTCTTCAGAAGTTCTGGCAGCCGCCCAGACTGGTTCAAATGTAGCAAGTCCCACCTCCAGAATGTCTGTGCAAGAGAGAAAAACAGAAGAGCACCGTGACCACTCTTGCTCCTTGATATTGCTTGATGCTACTTGTACTTCTAGTGCCGTGTGACGCCTCGGCAGAAGTCATCAATGAATGTTATGTCGTGTAGGGTATATTATGGTATATCACTGAATCACCGGATAACGCACAAGTCTCGCCTGTGCCAAACCCTGCACAAGCTGCCTGCGCAAAGGCGCAGCATGTGCATCTGTCCTGAAGCACGAAACGAAGGAAGCGAAGAAATCAGAGCACGCCTCAAACATGTTCTTTACTCTTTACCAAAGAGCAGGGCGCGTCTCTTTCTTGAAAATGATCCAAAAATCTAATGGTCAAAACAAAACAAAACAAAGAAACATCCCCCAAGTGCAGCCGTCACTGGCGCCTGGAGGGCTCTGAAAATGCCAAGTGCCCAAGTTTCAGAGCCTTGCGTTCGAGGTTTGAATCTTGAGACTTGGGCTATTGATGGCTATTGTATGCTATTGTGAACTCAGTAGCCATACTTTCCAGTTCGATGTCTGTGGCTTTGTTGAACATGCAGGCAGGCTGCAGCCATGGCAAGAGCGAGAATTGGCAATGGCCGCCATTGCCGACGCTGTCCCATTTCAGCCTTTTAGGCGAAATCGGTTTTGGATTGTATTGATTTTTTTCAACCACTGCCTACCCGCGTACCCATAGGTTGTGTAGCCTTCACTGCTTGGCTGCAGATTTCAATATACTTCCAACACAAAACATCTGGCTCAATTTGTGGCTTTCCAATCCATTGTGGCCAGCTTTGCAGATTTGGAAGCTCATTGTTTCACAGCTAACGGAAGTCGTGGTCCAAAAATGCACATGCAAGTCTAAGTCGCACTCAATCTCTCAATGTACACACCTTTCGCGCAACAAAAAAAAATACGCAAAGGATGCAATGAAGGCGACCTCTTTCCATCTTTAGTGGCCCGAGATTTGCTGTCTGGACTTGACCCCAAATTGAGTATCTGCATGTATCTAGGATGTCCATGCTTTCTGTGCCAGTCTCCCGATCAAGAAACATCAAGAAACCATATTCATATTGCATCAAGTTGGCATCAAGACGCATTAAGTCATTGAATGTCATTAACATCATTAACAGTCATGCGTTATTCGGCCTTCTGAAGCCTTCTATGCTTCATCCCGTCCCACCAACGGGCCTTGCTTGAAAGCCTAGGAGTCTAGGAGGCCAACATTTAAAGAAATCAGAGAAAGAAGAAGTCAGGTGGTCATGCAAATTGAGATAATTAAGAGTCTATATATAACTTAACCAACAGTAAGTAACAGGAATCAACATAATAAAGCAATAAGCATCAATGTATACAAATGTCTTAACTTAATATTACTTATCTCGGGCTTATCTCCTCCAAGTCGATCCAGCTGAGTTTCGCGCGAAAGGTCCAGAAAGAATTGCGTCTAATTTAGACAGCGCCTTCTGACCACGCAGCATTGCGGTAGCATGTTACCACCCTGTACACGGTAGCATCTCGTGGCAGCATCGATGCGTCGACCAGTGGATTTGACGTAGCACGATGCTCAAAAGATTCCAGGTTTGCATTCATTACGAGTGCCTGGCTCATGAGACCCCAGCCACGCCCACTGTACACTTGACATTGGCGTGGCTTGGTGCCAAGACGAGACAAGTACTTCACCACTCTATCGACTCTATCATACATATGAAGGCAATATGCCAAGGTCATTGAGCTCATGGTCTGGCCAATTGAATCAATTCAATCAGTTCCACTAAGTTCATAGGATGCCAAAAGTTATAGCCCGGGTCTGGGGCACAGCTGCTGCAGCAAGTGCAGCAATTAGGCATCAAAGCGCAGGCAAATGTATCCACTTAAGGACCTCAAACCCAAGGCAAACTGTGACTCGCCGGCAGATTCCAACGTAATCATGCTATTGATCTGATTCAATCTCTATCTCAGCTTCATGTACCGCATTTCTTGTGTGTCTCTTCTCTCCTTCTCTTGCTCTCTCTGTGTCCAGATGATCTTTCAAAGGCACAACAGGATCATCTGCAAAGAGCTTGCTATAGCTTGCTTGTTCCCCCCATGAAAGTTCGATCGTGAATCATGATCCAAATTAGATAAATTTTAGCTGGAAACATCTGGAAACAATACCTCCAGGATCCTCCAGGAACCATCAGGAACCATCAGGAACTCAAAGTTCGGCGTGAAATGCCTTTGGCCATCGACCCACCCTGCCTGGTTGCTCCAATGCTGTGCACCCAAAGTTCACAGCGGCCACCCTGGTTGTGTTCAATGCCACGGCATCCTGCCAATGCTGCACATTCTGCTTTGCATTGATTCAAACCTCGGCTCAAACTGCTTCAAAAATTCACATGTTTCTTCACATCTTATATGTTTATATATTTTTAAGCCTCACACATGTTTATGTTTTTAATATTTTTTAGTGTTTGTTTTCTTGTGGTAAACATGTGCCCACTCAAGTTCTGCACTCTTGACTGCTCTCATCTGGTGGGTTCTCATCCTGTACTGCAGCTTGCTGTGACTGGTACAAACCATAATATCAGGATATGTGATGATATGTGCTCATTCAAGAATGGTTCTGACGGATGAAGGATGATAGGTAAGGAATGATAAAGGATGATACAGAAATAGCTAGGGCTTGGAATCGGATTGTCTCTAAGAGTTGGGCTCATTCCACTTGACGCTGCAACTGTGTAGTGGCTGGGGAGGTTGTCGTCTGGTGAGCGCCCTCGACAAACACGATTCACGCCGCCATCCACAGGTACAAAGGACCACGGGGACGGAGTGGTGGTTGGTGCACCTGTGTACCGCAAGCAAATGAACCCCTGCACTGCAGCCGTTGCTTCGATGCCACCGGGTCTGACCCACAATTCACACCTCCCGGTGCTGTATTCGATGCCTACCCAGCAGTTTGTGACAAGAATCGGAGATATGTCGGATATGTGCGCAATCGTTTGCAAATGTAGTCTACTATAGTCTACTTATTCACAAGGCTTCACATTTTACACTTTTTCAGAGCTCATAACTTATAATGACTGAAATCCAAAAGTATTTAAGAGTACTGCGTTCATCTTTGTACACGAAGCTCCTCTGTGCAGGAGACTCGCCTTGGCACAGGGCATCAATAACGCAAATGGCCTTGCAGCCGTCCAAGTCGGAAATACCATTTTGGATCACGTAGTAGATAGGATTGTTGTCGCCCGAGGAAGCTCCTCGACAAGCCCGATCAATACCTCCATCAATGGGCACAAAGTCTCCTGCGGCGAGTTGTAATTTTGATAAGAGTTCCGCCAACATCAGCATTGCAAAACCCAGGAAGCCAAGGGCAAAGGAGACCCAAACGCAACAAGGCGTAACAAGGAGTAACAAGGAGCAACACGGAGTTTAGTCAGGAGATGTGAGGCCTGTGCTCGTGACTGAAGTGGACGTGGTGGAGCTCGAGAGGGAAGTTGTGCTTGGAGTCCTTTGAATTTCCCAAACGTCGAAGTCCGCATAGCTTCGGCACTGAGCGATCACCACACTCGTCCGGAGGAAGCAAGGAAATGTTGGTGTGCTCACATGCGTGGCAATCACAGCAGCTTCGCAGTCCGGATTCATTTCGCACTGTTGTCGACACTCTTCCACGGTGTAAGTGCCAAGAAGCGGATTGGCATCTGGCAAAGATACTGCTCCATGTTCTTCCCAGCAATTCAATCCAAGATGAAAAGCCCAATTTGCTGAGCCTCCCTCGATTGGTGGAAAAATCACAGGGGCTGATCTAGTAGAAGTTGCAGCTGAAGTGGTGGAAACGGTGGAGACTCCTGTCAAGCTTGTGGTTGTGGTGGCTGTGGAGGCTGTGGTTGCTGTGGTTGTTGTGGAGGTTGTGGAGGTTGTGGAGGTCGCTGTTCCGCTTGAGCTTGTGGGAGACAGGCTGGTTTAAAAGAAAACTGAGGTATGAAACCCAACGCGAAAAGGCGAGCAGTCAAACATAATAGTTGGAGTGGAAACAGTTCTCCATTAACTTCTTGTCGATGTCGCTGGGAAAGGATCAAAGCGATCTATGTAGCTCAACCACATTTTCTTTGTCAGGTGCTTTGATTTTGGTACGGCAGAACTGAAATGGCGTTTCCTTAGGTTTGGTTTCACCTCACCTTTCAGTGTAACTTCACCAGTTGCTTTCCACAAGCGAAGACATGCCATCTCAACTCCCTACCACCCCCAACCCCCATGCACACGACGAGGTCTAACAGCTTTTTGAATATGATGGCGGTGTCGTGAACACTGCGCAAGCACCTACTGCACGGCTGAATATCAAATTGTATATTATATATATACATACATTGCTATGTATATTATTATATACACGTAGACGTACACACAACTGTACGAGTAGATATTTGTACAGTGTGCGTCATATCCATATCGGCTATAACAAAATCAAATTGACAGATAATTTTTAGGTCAATGGTGGACAATGCAGAATTGTCGGCACTGACACAGGGCCTTCTCATTTGGCTTGCTATCAAATGCAAAGACAAAAGCAAAGGGGACCCAAACGCAACAAGGCGTAACAAGGAGTAACAAGGAGCAACACGGAGTTTAGTCAGGAGATGTGAGGCCTGTGCTCGTGACTGAAGTGGACGTGGTGGAGCTCGAGAGGGAAGTTGTGCTTGGAGTCCTTTGAATTTCCCAAACGTCGAAGTCCGCATAGCTTCGGCACTGAGCGATCACCACACTCGTCCGGAGGAAGCAAGGAAATGTTGGTGTGCTCACATGCGTGGCAATCACAGCAGCTTCGCAGTCCGGATTCATTTCGCACTGTTGTCGACACTCTTCCACGGTGTAAGTGCCAAGAAGCGGATTGGCATCTGGCAAAGATACTGCTCCATGTTCTTCCCAGCAATTCAATCCAAGATGAAAAGCCCAATTTGCTGAGCCTCCCTCGATTGGTGGAAAAATCACAGGGGCTGATCTAGTAGAAGTTGCAGCTGAAGTGGTGGAAACGGTGGAGACTCCTGTCAAGCTTGTGGTTGTGGTGGCTGTGGAGGCTGTGGTTGCTGTGGTTGTTGTGGAGGTTGTGGAGGTTGTGGAGGTTGTGGAGGTTGTGGAGGTTGTGGAGGTCGTAGTTCCGCTTGAGCTTGTGGGAGACGGGCTGGTGGAGGGCCTACCCTGGGCACACCTGAGCTGATCCGTGACGACATGATGGCTGGACAATGCTTTGAAGTCACACTGACCTCCGAATTCGCCCATTTCGCAGATGAAGGACCGATCATCGCTTTCTCGGAGCTGACAGGTTTGACCACCGACCCTCAAATTTATCACACCGTCTGCGCCGAAGTAATCCCCCAGAACTGGGTCGGAGAACTCCACAATCCATGACCTAAGCGACAGGCATTCTCGAGAGTTGCAAATGAGAGTATATTTGAGCAAAATACATCAACATATATTGCAATAACCATCGTGACATTTGTGCATTCCGTGAAAATTAGAAAATGATATTGTACCTTTTTACATATACAATTATTTATACTAGATTGTACTACCTCCCTTATAATTCGTGGGTGCCCCTGGGTTCCGCCCACCCCCTAAGGAACTACAATTCTTCCGTTTAAAAAATGAAAAATCCAGTTTCAAAAGTTTACAAAATGGCATTCCACGATGCAAACAATATATGGCAGCATCAATTAGCATAAATTTAAAAATTATAAAATGACAATTCCAAGGCCACCAAAACAAGCAAAAAGAATCTTAGGGCGTCTTGAAATTCAGTGCCATGTGAAAGGACAATGTCGGAAACATCATTTATAACATTTTATAAGGCGGGGCCCAGATAGGTGGAAAAGGTGAAGAGAGCCATTTTATAAGGCCATTCAGGGCATTTTATAAGAACCAAAAGTGTGCAAACCTAATTTCTCCGGGTATGTTTTTCTCAGTTTTTGCTGGTAAAACCGGTAATTTTCAAAAGAAATTGTTTATATTGCAAAGTAAGTGTACCTTATATAATGGATAATCAATAAAAGTGAACATGAATCTTGGTAGCCATTTTGATGGTTTGCCATTTTATATTTTTTTGGGGGTCTTGAAAAAAATGAAAAAATGTGAATTTTACTTCATTTTGGGCGGAACCCAGGGGCGGCATTTCATAAGAGAAATCTAGAGGGGGATCTTGCACTAGTACACAAATCATCATCAGATTCATGCATGACAAACGCTTTGCTCTAGGAGCTTGACCTGTCAGGGCCTCCGAAGGATCCAGTCAGCTCATAGTCTTGCCCTACGAGTACCAGTGAGCCATAGCCCTTGCGAAGACCGTCATATTTGACCTCACCAGCATTGCCTCACGTGACATCGTGACTGCAGGATTCTGCAAGTTCCAAAAAGTGGGTTTCACGCAGAAACAGTTCAAATTCTAAGATCTTAATGCCTTCCGTCAAAGCGATGTTTTTACTGATTTAAACATGTCGAAGAAGCCTGTAGAAAACTGGATTCGAGGACTGCAGGAACGTGCAGGAAGCAAAATGAAGACAAACTATATAGACAAATGAAGCACATGTGTTTTTGAGCCCAATTCATTTTCCGCGCTGAAAGTTATTCAGGAGGCTCAGCACATATCCGTGAGTAAAGCTAGAGTAAAATTTGTGCGGCAGCAATTTGAAAACGCTTGAAAACAACAATTTGCAAAGCAACTATACTTGTCACTCATCACATGTGAACTGTGTAGGCTTTAGGCAATGCCAACAAATCAAAGGCGGACGATACAGCGACAGATGTGCGGTGAAGGATGCAGAACTGCTGTTTCATCCGCGACTTATGACCTGCCAAAAGCAGTTTCGTCTGCGCAAAACCAGTTGAAAGACACCTCTTCTGCTCAAAGGCTGTACTGAAAGACTGCAGACTTGAAACGAATAGGTACTGGTAACGAGCCGCGCGCCAAAGGAGCTCGAAACTGAAGCACGCCGAAATTCAAGAATCCTACTACATGTACTGAATACTTCCATAGACTGACTTGCCAACGAGACTTCTGTTTCAATCAAATTGGAATTGGACATACATGTATGTGCCAGCGGACCGAAAACCGTGCTCGTAAAATGCACGTTTTTGCTAGCGTGTGTTCGCAGGTCATGAAGGGGCGGGGTGGGGTGGGGTGGGGTGGGGATGGCATGTTAACGTTCCTTGTGCTTCTTCATCTTCTTCCGCTACAGTACATGCTGCTACGCTGCACAGATGTCTGGCAGTGTTGCTTCGCTGTATACATGAAGGGGTGGGGTGGGGTGTGGGGGGAAGGGGGGAAAATCAGTTGCCACACTGGAACAATCGATGCCACATGGAGTGCTGTCAAAGACTTCATCCCCAACTCGTTGTGTTCAAAGAGCAAAGATCTTCCCCTCTATGTGAAGTGCTGGCAGTGGAGATATGTGAATCTGCATACCCATCTCCAGCAAAAAACAATTTCAACGCTGAAGCGCCTGCTTTGAAATCTTTGAAAAGAAAAAAAAACCTGTCAACATGCCCCAATGAAATGAATCCAAAACCCACAAAAAGGCGAATTTTGCTAAATTTTCGCGCGAAAATTTGGCACAATTCGGCTTGCAGAAATGTCTGTTTCGCTATGGCAAAAATGATTTGTTTTAGAAAAACGTTGTTTTTACGAGCACAGTTTCCGGTCCGCCGGGATGTATGCGCAGGTGTATGTATTTATATGTGCATATATGTGTATATTATATTATATATGTATATATTTTGATTATCATTATTATGATTATGATTATCATTATCATTATTGTTATTATTATCATTTTATATTGTCGTTATTGCTATTATTGCTATTATTATATACTATTATCATTGTTTTATTGAACTTTACATTCAATTGGGAAGATCAACAATGGTATTAGGAATATAAATTCCCACCCCCGTAAAACTCTACATTCAATTGGGAAGATCAAAAAGGGTATTAGGAAGAGGAGCGAGACACGGAAACTTAGAGTCTTGCACACTTTGCTATGAGACCAAAAAAGAAAGGTGCTTGCGGCAGAGGATGGTGATGATGATGTTGATGATGAAGAAGATGAAGATGAACATGATCATGATGATGATGATGATGATGATGATCAATGATGATCAATGATTTAGGCAATAGAGGTAAAACAGGGGGCCAGTAAGACAAGCTGCGGGGGCACCCTTTTACCTGAAACCTTGAGCCAAAATGGTCATTGAATGCTGAACTTTACAACCAGATGGCGGGAAGGGAGTTTAGTGGGCATTTGTCCCAATTATTTCTTCTCCCCCCTCTCGCTGCACACCATCTGGGAGCTAGCCAGCTAACAGTTGCGCACCTGATATCGATGGCCAAAAACTCTAGCTACAGCAAACGAAAAACCAGATGGCGAAGTAAGCGCAGTCACATTGGTGAAAGTCAGCTTGAGTACTGTGCTACATTCATAATTAGGATATGGATGGCATGCAACCTAATGCTCTGATGTTTGGATCGTTATCTTTGGGTGCGTGATCCGCTCCACCAGGCCACCGGGCAAAAAGGTGATTATTACTCGGATTTACTCATATGGAGGGAAGTAAATGCTGTACATTCACTTGGAGGCAAGCAAAAGGAGCAGCCAAAATGGCTCACCATACTGCAGACTGTCTGCAGCGTGCTCACTTCGCTTGTAACTTCGGTGTTGGTTTCGTCTTTGAGTGTTACAAAACTACAGCGCACACTACTGGGGTGAGGCGCGTTGAGACGCAGCACTCAAAATCGAACAACTAGAAGCACTACTGATGTGTTCATTCTTACTGGGGGATAGAAACAAACAACATCTAGTTGCAAAATACAACCAACGGTGACAATGAGGCGCGAAATCGCAGCTTTCGATACTACCCCTTCAGTTGTTCTAACTAATCTGGCACAATGCCAACCATTGACAGGGCATGACTCCATTTGTGGGCTTCGAGATTCTTCGTGAAGATGTCTGCCGACTGCATGTCTGTTGGACAATGCTGCAAAGCAACGTCTTCTTCTAGTCGAAAAATGTCATATAACCCATTGATATTGATTTTGTGGGTTTTGCACAAATGACGGAGTTTTGCCGAAAACCCATTGTGGATGACTTGTATGGTAGCTGTGTTGTCCTGCTGACAGGTCATAGGCACTTGAGCCTTCAATACAGAGGCTAAATCTTCCTGAGCAGGGATGGCATCACCAAACAATGCTGCTGCGAGTGAAATCGCCTCAGCTTCCGTCGTCGATCTGCTGCATGCAGTCTGGCGTTTAGATTGGAACGCTATCGAAAAGTACGACTTTCCTCCGGCAATAACCAGTATTGAGCCTGACGTTGAGCAGCCACGATCTACTTTTGAAGCATGATCAGCATCTGTGAAAAGCCAAAGCTCCCACGGTGCATCCGGGTCCAGTCTGCATCTCATCTTATACCGCTTTGTGGAGTTGAGATAACAAAACACGCCCAACAATCTCCTATCGTCATTTAGGGACCAACGAGTGATTTGACGGCTCAACTCATTTAAAGAATGGAGCAGGTCTGGGCGCGCGAGACGTGCGAGCCAGTACCCTTTCATAATCACTTTGGCTGCCACATTGCTCAACTGCCCTTTGGTTTCCCAATCGTCGATTGGCAAAGTGGATTCATCGAGGTATGGTGTGGCTGCAGGTTTGAAGTTCTTGGTTCCAGTTACATCTTTGTAAAGTTGGCACGCTGCCTCAGCAAAATCGTCCATGTTGAAGATGATGGTGTCACCGAGGAATTCATGGGACCTACCCAACACACGACTGACAGGGCCCGGCTCTTCGAAATTCAGATGTGTAGAGAGAGCCTTCCAGAAGATCTCGTGATTCTCTGATGGCCCTGATAGCACCATATCATCCACGTAAAGGGTTAGCCACAATTTCCACTGCTCGATGTAAAAATTGCTCGGGTAGAGGCTTGATTCTTTACCTCCGAGCAAACTCATCACCTGTTTGAATCTGTTGGACCAATGTCCTCCAGATTCAGGATGTCCGTATAATGCCTTTTAAAGTCTAGTGCATGGTCGATAGATGTGTTTGAACTCTGGAGGTGTTAATTCCGGAGGAAGTTCTACATACGTATCAACTAATGCTTTCAGGTCAGACTGTATGTAGGCTTTGATGATGTCACTTTGGGTGGATTTATTACCCCTCTTCATTCCGCAAGCTAAATTCATGTTCAAGCCCGAAATCGTGGTGGGAACACCCTTGATTTCTTGAAATTCAGCGTACTGTCCGAAGGCATCCCTGACATCATCTCCTCTGAAGCAAATTCTTGCTTTTAACTTTCGCAAACTTTTGGATTCAGCATTTTTCCGAGAAACTAGCGTCAGCAGCTGACCTATCGCAATCTCCTTTCCTGAGGCGCGTGACTCGGCTTCAAGTTGAGATCTTGGAACAACTCGATCGTATGTCCACGTTCATGCTTTCACGAGACCATCGGCCTCCTTCTCTACTTCTGCAAGTGCTGCAGGATCGTTGATCCAGTCCCTCCTGCTTATGACCTCATGGATTGACAATGGAATCTCATGGACATCCTTTGGTGAGATTTCATTTTGCACATGGGCTTGAGGGATTGTTGGAACAACCGGCATAGACAGTACAGCTTGGTGAAATTTCTTTGGAAACAGCTGCGCAATAACGGCTTCGCACATTTTTGGCGGGTACAATGCAGACTTCTCAGCTTTGCCCCCCTCGCACGGAACATGCTTAAACGAAGGTTCATGCTGGCACGTGTGATTCCTAAGCATGCCTGCCAAGTCTTCACTTGAAGTTGCAATTGTCCAAGGTTTAAAATGCTCACCGCCAAATGCACACGCGTTACATTTAGCCAAGTGGAGCTGGTGTCTGTTGCAGAAATCTTGGGTTCTACCAATCTCCATCCTTGGCAGTGAGAAGGCCATTCGAAATGGACACGGCCGCCTTGAGCTAAAACAATCTCAGCAAATTCGATGAAAGTCTTTAACATCTTTCTGCTTTCTAATTGTCTTCTAAGTAGCTTTCTGAGGTATGACGCGCCGTATCGATGAATGTTCATGCGCTGCCATGAAGTCCAAGGTTTGCAAGGCAGTGAAGCCCACAAATCGAGGCCTCGCATGTCAGGCTCGCGCAGCTTCTCATGTAACTGGTCTATGACTTGTTTGTCACTGATGTTGCCCCATTTCTCGCTGAATCTAATGTGCGATAGCCCTATTTGTTCTGACACATTCCCAAGGCCAGAGTTTGGATCACAACAACACTCAATATAAAGATCCCATAGCCAGGCAAATTTTGTTGATGCAAAACTTTGGTTCTGCGACTGGAAAGGTCACGCCGCA